TAAAAAAAAAAACTCATATTTCTAATTATTTCATATAATCTGTATATATACATTATCGATAGCCACAAATAAGAATCGCATACGATTTAAACGTTAATAAACGAAAAATTTGTATCTCGGAAAGATCCTGCATGTATTTAAATCCTTCGTAACACGACTATACAAAGGAATTGAATTTAAGGTATCGAAAGTAAGGTATTGGATACACGTTTTGAAATATCAAAGCTCTTTTTCTTTTTTTAGAAAAACGCTATGACTCTACAAACATTCACATGTGTGTGAAAAATTTCTTCATCTTTATGCAGTTGCACAGCAATTAGTAGAGATGATTTTTTTCTCCACTAGCACGTACACACTTAATAACAAATTGTTTTTTTGCAGCTGAACTATTTTAAAACGATTTTAAAGAGTGGGTATCTTTTTTCGTCAAAAAATGGAATAATTCCGTTAATATGCATCATATCAAATAGTGATATATGAAGAATTCAATAGCTGACATTTTTCTACGAATTTAAAAAAGACAAGAAGTAATTGTAACCACGAAATTTGTAGTTCCTCGTTTCGTGAATATTTATTTTTTTACTTTATATTACTAAAAAAATCACATTTGAGTATGGAATGCATGTCTGACTAACATTTTTGTTAATGTATATATTTTGTAAATGTATACATATACGTAGGTATATGTATTTTACGTGCTAGTGGAGAAAAAAATCATCTCTACAAATTGCTGTGCAACTGCACAAAGATGAAGAAATTTTTCGTAGACAGGTTTTTACTGAACGAATGGCTATTTGCAAAAACTAATGAACAGTTGAGAGTCGTTCAGAGCTAGATTTTTTCGTTATCACGAGGTCATTTTACAAGAATTTCAAACCTTTGTGTTTCAATCTCGATGAACAGAAAGCAAGTGAATGAAAGGCTTTTTTCGGTGATTTTAATGTTTCTAACTAATAGACTGATCTTAATGTTCCACATCTCATTTTGTAAGTATTTCGCATACCTTTATTTTTCATACTCTCTAAACTTTTTTCCATTATAATTAACAATTTTTGTTTTATAAGCAAGCAAACATGCTTTTTGCAATTATTCGAATTTTTTTCGCATATTTCCCAGACGAGTCTTAAAAGTTAAACGTATGCATTCTTTTTTGATGACTTCCCCTGAAGATTTTCGTCAAGAGAAATATCAACTTACAAATTTTTCGCAAAATGAGTCTTTTTGAGTCTTAAGGTGCCTTTTCATACGCAGCACACTGCGGCAGCAAAACGTCACGTGACGCAAAATGTCACGTGACGCAAATTTATTTTACATGAGATGACGCGTTTCCGGAGCAAAATACATTTTGCCGCAGTTCGTTAAAGTTCAACCGAACAGCAAACAGCAAGCTGCAAAATCGAGGAAACGTGCAATATG